CTGTAACAAATGTACCACTCTGGTTCAGGATGTTGATAATGAGGGAAGAGGGGGGTGGGTGGGACAAGGAATACATGGGAAATCTCTGTACTTTTTACTCCAAACTGCTCTGAAAAATAAAGTTTATTAGTACGAAAAATAGAATCACCATTTTTTAAAGATTTTATTTATTTATTTATTTATTTGAGAGATAGACAGCACATGAGAAGGGGGAGGGTTAGAGGGAGAAGCAGACTCCCCGCCGAGCAGGGAGCCCAATGCGGGACTCGATCCAGGGACTCCAGGATCATGACCCGAGCTGAAGGCAGTTGCCCAACCAACTGAGCCACCCAGGCGCCCTAGAATCACCATTTTTTAAAAAGATTTTTACTTATTTATTTGACAGAGAGAGAGAGAGAGAGCGTGTGTGCAAACAAGCAGGGGCAGCAGGCAGAGGAAGAAGCAGGCTCTCCACTGAGCAAGGAGCCTGACGTGGGGCTCGATCCCAAGACCCTGGGATGATAATCTGAGCTGAAGACAGACACTTAACCGACTGAGCCACCCTGGTGCCCCTAAAATCACCATTTTTTTTTTAAGATTTTATTTATTTGACAGAGAGAGACACAGCAAGAGAGGGAACACAAGCAGGGGGAGAGGGAGAAGCAGGCTTCCCGCAGAGCAGGGAGCCCAATGTGGGGCTCGATCCCAGGACCCTGGGATCATGACCCGAGCTGAAGGCAGACGCTTAACAACTGAGCCACCCAGGTGCCCCTAAAATCACCATTTAATTCAGAAAACAGGATGCCCTAAAAGTTACCAAACATCTGGGAAAATATTTGGTTCCTCAATATAGCCTGGAATAGTGGTTAGCTTATGCATTAATATGAAGAATAATAGCACATAACAGACTTTATGTTCAAAATCCCCAAAACTCAATATACTCAGGACTCGTAAATAGAGACAACATAAAAACAAGAGCTCAGAAATAAGGCCATGTAGTGCTCAAAAAATTCTAAAAACTACCTAAAAAGAGGTATTCTGAATCTTTAAAAAGGATGTAACACTGGAACATGTACAGCAAGCTAAAACAATTTGCTGAATATATTTAATAGTAATATGGCATATTATACATCAGTTTCAATTAAGAATCTAGAAGAATCTCATAAGGGTTTTTGCTCTTTTTAATGAGACAGCTATGCTCAAGTCTTATCTTCATGTCCAAGTGACAAAGAATATGCAAAACACAGTTCTCTGGGAGGTTGCAAATTCAACAGAAGTCAATATAGCTCAAAAAATGTTCTGTTGGCCAGAAAAGTTCTTTAAAATTTGAATACATTTATGTGAGACATACATTCTTTGGCCTCTGCCCCAACATTTTTGTTTTCCTACATCCAGTCCAATTCACTCATGTTTGTTATTTGCTTAATCCCAACAGGAACTTTGGTTTGAGGCCCCCTACCCTATATTGTTTTTTGTATAATTACACTTATACTTTGATTCCTTTCATTTAAAATTTCCTTATGAAATTCTGTATCATATTTCAATACATTTGTATTAGAAATGGATATTTTCTCTTCTCTTTCAATTTTCCAGATCTGAGAGTTAGCACTTAATTAGTCATGCATGTATTTCAGGACAAAAACAATTCTTGCAAAGAGATGGTGGTTTATTGATGTTATTCCTAATCCACATTTAACTGCATAACAGAATATATATCACTGCTAGGCTTATAAAGGCTTATTGAAGCTTATGATAAAGGCCTCTGATCAAGTGTGAGGAACCATTCCTTTTTCTCAAGTTAATAGTTTTGCTCAAAATTGTTAATATTTGGCAGTATTTCTGCCTAGCTGTTTCATCCTCATTAAACACACATGCGGTCATCTGCATATTCGGGAAAATGTAACTCTACTTCAAGAATAAACGTGTTAAGATTTACATGCCTTGTATGGATAAGCCAAGGTTATGTGGTGGATCTGAAGCTATGTATCAGAACTCGGTATGGAACAGGGAAAACTTTTTCCTTACACAGCTAACACTACCGACATACCTGACAGAGTATACTAAGGGAAAAGTTGGTACGAAACTGTCAAGTGATCATTCTCCGTGTGGTTATGCCCAAGCCATCTCTTAATGATAAATTAAAAAGTCTCTTTACCTGTCATGACCTGAGTTCAGGCACTCTTGCGGAAGCTGGAGACAATACTAACCCCTGCACTGTGTAGGGAGGTGCACTCCTTGCATTGGGGCTTAAATGTTAGTGATTTCACCAACCCTTGAAGTGCAGAACAGTAAAAAAACAGTTTTCAGCCGTTTTTCTTACTGAGTTCTCATTTTTTAAATATTACAAAGATCTCAATTAGGTTTTAAAATAAGTTATTTCTGTTGAAAAGGCAAGGCCTTAGTTTAAAGAGACACATGCCAATAGGTCTTTCTGGGTCACTGCACAAACCACAAGATGGCTTCTTTTTCTTCTATTAATTAAAAACTTACACAAAGATGCAACAATTTTGTGCCTTCGAGTGATTTTCTGATTTTACCTTAAAGTACCAAGATTTAGTGGCTACACATATGTAACTCGGTCTTGCAGAATTAAGTATTAATAGGTACTGTACTAGATGAGATTAGCTGAGTTAAAAATGGTACCTTTCCTCTTAACTCAATTATTCCCCTGCCAAACCATACTGCCCTGGAAATTTCTAAAGAAACAACACGTTGTACTCTTCCATAAGGTAAAAATCAAGAAATGCGACTATGCCCAAGGATAGAATTACACTGTGTATGTGTCTGGAAGGCCAAATCTGTTTCTGACTGAAACCTTAAAATTCCAATTAATACAATTTCCGATTCTCTTATACTCTAAAATTACAGGAGCTTACACATGACTCTAGGTTTTTCCCATTGCTGCAGGAGAAATGAGTTGAAAAATATCCCTTAGCTAGTTTTGAAGAAAATATCTTATGTACCTAAAAAAGAGTAATGTTTTATCTGAATCTCTCTCCAAATCCCCTTCACTTCTTTAAGCTTTCATTTCTCTTCTGACCCTCTTAATCAGAACACAAACAATGCTATTCTGACTATTATGAGCTTGGCACCATTCAGTTATGCATACTCAAAGCATTTGAGTTCTCTGAATTCTTTCCTGGCATTTTAGTAGAGGAAGATAAAAACAAACCTGAGCTGAAACTGTGCCACCTGGAGGATGCACATGCATTTTACTATCTCTTCCTATCTATACTCTGCCCCATTTTAAAACTCTATATCAAATTTAAATGTTCCCTGCCTACAACAAAGCAAGCTTGTCTTGATAGGCTTGGCTAAGGTGCTTATATTTTTCTTCACAGGTGAAGAAATTAAATAATCCCTCTTTCATTTACCAAACAATTTTTTTTAATGTTGGCACTCACTCAGAGTCCATTTGAAGGATCTATTCCTCTAACTTAAAATCACAGCAATTTGATCTCATTTATAAACAATCGAACATAAGTACTTCTTGGAAATAATCTGCTCAACTGCTACCTTTTTTTTTTTTTGTCTTTTTATGGACAAGATAATATAAGAAAAATTCATGAAATAAAATAAATATTGCCTGGCCTTAAAATGTTACTTTATGCTTCTTTCCAGTGTAAAGGAGAGAGGAAAGAGCAATACAAAACGTAAACTAAAAGGTCAAATTTCTAACTTATTTGATATCAAATGAAAAAAATTTTCTTTTCTTTCCTTTTTTTTTAAGTAAGCTCTACACATAATGTGGGGCTTGAACTCACGACCCTGACATCAAGAGTTGTATGCTCTACTAGCTAAGCCAGCCAGGTGCCCTGATATCAAATGAAAACATTTTCTAAGAGGAAGTTTAAGAGTAGTGGAGACCAATCAAAAAATCATTCTGTCAAAAGTAAAAAGCACCTCAGTTCCAGTATTAATACACTTGTGAGTTCATGCCAAACATGACAACTTTTTAAAATGTAACTTATGTGGGAATAAGATTTCAGGCCAAAACTGACTACTCAATTTAATCCTTGTTGTAATTACAAGGTCTAAAACAGTTCCCATTTTAAAGATGCTAATTGAGTTCCCACACATTCTTTTTTTTTTTTTTTAAGATTTTATTTATTTATTTGACAGAGAGAGACACAGGGAGAGAGGGAACACAAGCAGGGGGAGCGGGAGAGGGAGAAGCAGGCTTCCCACAGAGCAGGGAGCCCGATGTGGGGCTCGATCCCAGGACTCTGGGATCATGACATGAGCCGAAGGCAGACACTTAACCACTGAGCCACCCAGGCGCCCTGAGTTCCCACACATTCTATATAATGTTTCTTTTTAACATATTCTTACTCTGTAACTAACTTGGTCATCTAGATTCTAACCTCCACATTCCATCTCATAAGGCAAATATTTTTCTCTCAATTATGAGTAAGATTCATTATCCCAATTTTAATTTATTGTCCAAAAGGGAAAAAAAAAACCTTTAAGAAAACCACATATGAAGTAAGCCAACTTGATGAACCAATCTTTCATGTTCAAAGCACTTATTTTAAAAATAACTCTTCAGCTTGGGGCGCCTGGGTGGTGTGGTCGATTGGGCGACTGACTCTTGATCTCAGCTCGGGTTGTGATTTTGGGGTGGTGGGATCAAGCCCTATGTCTGGCTCTGCGGTCAGCACAGAGTCTACTTGGGATTCTCTCTGCCCCTCCCACTCATGCGTGCTCTCTCAAATAAATAAATAAATCTTAAAAAAAAAAACCTCTTCAGCTTTATATGCATGGTATTATATTCATTTTATATTTATGAAAATATAATCTGCCTAGGGTTACAAAATATGTTAATGTCTGAAGTAGAATTAGAATGTGGCATTTCCTTTATCTCATACTACAGATTATTAAAATATTTCCCATGAATATCTAAAAATGTTTCCTATTTCTAAAGTAACAAACACTGATATCTTAATCTGAAAATGTATATATCACCACACACACATCATACACACAGGGAGACAGCAAATTAAATGGAAAAGAGCTCTTACCTTCATCTCCCTCTGGTGCATATGAAGCTGTAATAATGTCAATATCAGCACAATTCATCACAATCTGATTGGTTGCCTGCCTCACCTAGAGGGAAAAGAAAAACCAGCAGTGTCAGAAATAGCCAAGATTAGTAACATGTACATCTTCATCTTGGCCTAATGTATGTCACCAGGAATTTTTTTAAACCCAGGCATCACTAAAACCTAGACTGAGTATTTATACATCAATGGCAAAAATAAATGAGTAGTTTTAAGTAATCCAAGGCAATTCACATTTTTCAAATTATATTAAGAGCAACAATAAACACTTAAGTATTTTACAGAATTTAAATATCTGACCAATGAGCTAAATAAAAGCATTTTTCCCACTTAAACTTTTATTTAAAACAATTAAAACTTTTCAAATTAAAAATTAATTAGGAGAGGGCGCCTGGGTGGCTCAGTTAGTTAAGCCTTCGGCTCAGGTCATGATCCTGGAGTCCCGGGATTGAGTCCCACATCGGACTCCCTGCTCGGCAGGGAGTCTGCTTCTCCCTCTGACCCTCTTCCCTCTTCCCTCTTGTGCTCTCTATCTCTCATTCTCTCTCTCTCAAATAAATAAATAAAATCTTTAAAAAAAATTAATTAGGAGACACTTCTCATATGTTGCAATTAATTATGTATTTCAATCTATACATCAAACCCATCATAAGACCTTCTTTAAGGATAGAGAAAGAAAAGTGATATCATAAACCATGTCAAAACTTCATAAGACACTCTCTAAATTTTTTCTCTTACCAAAGTAACATTTTGGATATAACAGACAGTAATGACTCACCACCAAGATTAAATAAACTTTTTAAGATTTTGTCTTACTTGCTTCAGATCCCCCAAAATAAAATACAGATATAATGAAAGAAAACCCCATCCTCTCTTCCTCATTACATGGAGATAACCACTCTCCTAAGGCTAATGTAGCTCTTTCTCACATATGTATAGTACTTCTGCTACCTATAAAAAGATCAGCAAACAATGGTTTTTTTTTTTTTTAACGATTTTTATTTATTTGTCAGAGAGAGAGAGCACAAGCAGGGGGAGCAGCAGAGGGAGAGGGAGAAGCAAACTCCTCACTGAGCAAGGAGCCCGATGTGGGACTCGATCCCAGGACCCTGGGGTCATGACCTGAGCCAAAGGCAGACGCTTAAATGACTGAGCCACCCAGGCGTCCCAGCAAACAATGTTTTTAATTTTATACAAACAGTATCAAAGTGTATATAACCTTTGCATCTGTTTTCATTTAACATTGTTTCTGAGATGGGTAAATGCAGACAGAAGTAGATCTAATTCATTTACTTTTAACTCCTACAGAGTATTCCATTCTATAAATAAACTACGGTTATTTATCCATTTCCTTTCTAAAGGAAGTTAAATTATTTCCACTATTTTGTTATTTAAAATAGTACTATAATAAATATCTTGGTCCATGTTTTCTTATGCACATTTTTCTTTACCAAGAATATCCCAATTATGCTCTAGAGTAGTTTCAATTAACACTCCCATGAGCAAAGAATAAAGAAATCCCATGTTCATCATCCTCCAAAAAACTTAAAATTTTTTGACAATCTTATGTGTATTAAATGGTATTCTACCATTGCTTTAAATAGAACTTTCCTGATTACTAGTAACACTGATTAAGCATCTTCTCTTTTTAGTTTCTTTCTTCTTTTTTTTTTCCATTGTTTTCTCTGCAAATTATTTATTCATAACCCTTGCCCACTTTTCAATTTGGTTGTAGACCTGCTTTTATATACTTGTTGAATTTAAACAGAACCTCAAATTCATTTTCAGACCATTCATTTGAATGGTCTAAATTTAAAATAACAAAAATACTGGGGCTCCTGGGTGGCTCAGTCAGTTACTGGTTTCGGCTCAGGTCATGATCTCATGGTCGTGAAATGGAGCCCTGCATGGGGCTCCCTACTCAAGGTGGAGTGGGCTTCAGATCTTTCTCTCTCTCCCTCCCCCCTCCTTCCCTTTCAGCCCCTCCTTGCTGACATGCAAGAGCTCTCTCTTTCCCTCTCTCTCTCAAATAAATAAATAAAATCTAAAAATGAAATAAATAAACTAACAAAAGTACAGATGCCCTAAATCACAAATGTCTACAGAGGCCAGCCAAGCAGGTGAGTAGAATAGGCCAGGTGAAGGCTATGCATAAAGGAAGCGAGAGGTAGCCATTTCTTGGAGCCAACCAATTATTGCTATACTGAAAAGCAGACTTAGTATTGACAGATCTTCCAATTACAAAAAGAAAAAAAGAAAAAAAAAAAGCCACAGGGCTCCTGGCTGGCTCAGTTGGTAGTGCATGCAATTCTTGATCTCTAGGTCTGAGTTCAAGCCCCACGCTGGACAGAGATTACTTAAAAAAAAAAAAAAAGCGCCACAAATTTCAGATTTCATGTGCAATCTCCCAAACTGTAACTGATGGCAACTAATATAAATCTGCAAAAACACTGTGCAGTCCAAACAAAACCCACATGTAGGTCAATAGGGACTTGAGATCACTAACAGACCTCAGAACTAGGTAAGCACACAGGAGTAATATAATATCTATATGAAAAAGCTATACCAAAGAGTAATCATTTTATTAATAACCAATAAATAAACATGATTAATCTCAAACTAAAATTACCTGACCTAAATTACAGATAGTATGTTAGTAAGCCTGTAACAGACTGTTAAAATCACTAACCCATAACATGAAACTATTTTGGCTCATTAAAAAAAAAAAAATCTTTTTCAGCGACTTGGCTAGGTCAGTTGGTAGAATGTGAGAATCCTGATCTTGGGGACATTAATTTAAGCCCCACACTGGGTGGAGAGCTTAGTTTAAAAAAAAAAAAATCCTTTCCATAAATTTCTCTTTCTAAACAAAAATGTCATTTAATAAACTTTTTTTTTTTAATTTTTAAGTGGTAGGAGCACCTGGCTGGCTTAGTCGGTAGAGCATGCAACTCTTGATCTTGGGATTGTGAGTTCCAGCCCCATGTTAGGTAAGAGATTACTTAAAAATAAAATCTTTAAATAAATAATTTTGTGAGTGGTAATATTCCTTCACACTGTTTATTTCATCAGGAACATTCCTAAGCAGCACTAAAACTTTTCTGTACCAACTGGCCGTTTATAGCACTACATTTGAACGAACAAACAATCAAGAAAGACCCCTTTGCCTATTTATAAATTCACTTTCAGAAAATTCAGCAACAGAGAGAAATGAAGCACTTAATGAGGATGGGGTGGACTGCAGGGAGGTGTCTCCAAAAAGTAAAATGAATAAAAACCTTCCAGAGTCTGAAGTTTGTGTCCACAGGATAATAACTGTAGTTTAAACATCTTCATCTTTAGCTAGGCAATCATATTTTCATCCATCAACATCTACAGTGAATTTAATGGTAGCCAAGCAGTTAATCTGCCAATGTAAAGATACCTGTACAACACTACATATGCCAAATGACATTCACCTCACTACTATTGTAACATTCTGAGTGAAAGTGTTTGCATACCCTGGAAGGGCACCGTCTACAACATCCATTTACAAGTACATTCTAACCTCCTGTGTTTAGGGAAAACCCACCTGTTTATACTACTGAATTAAGCTGCTTGTTGAATAGCTACTAATCTTTTTTTTTTTCTCCAAGATTCTGCCATTTCTGGAAGGGTGGGAGGGAGGAACCAAAGGAACAAAAATACTTATCTCAGTAATAGAATGCTACTCAAATTTTAAAAATCTGACAGTATACTCTGCCTCAGATTAGACATGCATTTTAAACAGGATATAAAGTGCTTGTTTTAGTCCTTAGTGCGTGATTCACTGTAATCAGTTAATAGATTTTTGTTATTAAGACACACACACACGGGCATGTGGCTCCTCAGCAACTCTTACATTTCAGGGCTGTGAGTTGGCATAGAGTTTACTTAAAAAAAAAAAAGATATACACAGAGACCAAGATTAACTGTGCTGTAATCATAAAGATGTTCCTCTGAATATCATCTAACAGCATTCACCTAACAGTTTATAAAGTGTCTATCAGAATGATACAAAATTTAAAAACTATGTGCTATATTATATAGTACTTTGGATATCAGCATACATGTACAGATTTAAAATATCTACATGGAGTTAAGCGCTTCACTACCACACAGTAACACTGCTCTTTTTGATGTTTTCCCCACAATAGCACTGACCTGATGATTCAGTACATGATTTCTCACATATTAACATCATGTTAGTGATGTGTTCCACAACCAAAAATACAGGGAATAATTCAAAGGAATTTCAGCATTAAGATCTTCACAGTATGCAAGCTTAAAATAGAATCAAAATGTTAAAGTTGGCATATATATTATGTGGTAACAAGCTAATTTTCAACTTCTCCTTTTGATGCTATTAAAGAATGGAACAACAGTGTTTCCTTTCCTTGTTTCAAACCCAGGGTTAAGTCTTCTTGGAGCCCCATACAGACTGCACTTCAACCGAACCAAACACTAAGTAATGGCTCTATGGAAGAGGCAGCTTGACCACTTGTAACAATTTTACAATGGAAGTTTCCTATGAGTTAGGAAGGCAGCAATATGAGATACTTTTTTTTCCCTGAATGAGTCTTTATTATGATCACTTAGAAATACATCTTACAGGTACTAGAAGACCCAAGAGGCTTTTCTCTGACTGCCAAAGCCCCCAGATTTTAGTAAAAGGAAATCTCCATTATGATAACTCCAAATATCAATCTGAACCTGAGTCATTTTGCCTTACAAGGAATTTCATCGTTAAAATTTTGTAATAATCATTGCCTTTGTGGACTAGGGCTGTAATTTCTAGAGACAACAAGGAGCAAATAATTAGCAAACACAAATTGAGCCAAGTTTTCTAACAAAAGAGACATTGAAAAGAGCAAGTTGCAGAAAGTCAAACGTAGTACCACTAATGTAAAAATTTTAAACATACAGAATATTGTGGCTTCTTACATATGCAATAAAACTTTAAAACTATATATAGGAATAATACCTACCTAGAGAGAAGTTACCTCTGGGAGTGGGGGTGGAAAGAGATGGAAATGGACTTTAGTGGTATCTGTGACATTTTATTTTCCAAAAAACATCAGGCACAGTCTGAAGCAAATGGGGGAAAACGTTAGTATCTGCTAAATCTGGGTGGTGGGTTACTTTTCTGTATTTCTAAAATATTTCCTAATTTAAAGTAAAATTTTAAAGTGATTACAAGTGGCCAAACTAAGAGCTACATATTTAAATGATATTCAAAATTGAATCTCCAAGATCTGGAGAACTAATCTCAGTTAACGACAAAAGAACTATCAGAAGACTCAGTCCTTTGCCACTGACTCACATACAGATTAGAATAGGATCTACCTTACAATAAGAACAGGCTCACTTATGTAGCAAAGTTCAGAGAAGTTTCATAGATAATTTACTATTCAAGATCACATTTGTCCAGGTTGTATTGGACAATATCAATTATCCAGAACCAGGAAGTAAAAAAAAAAGAGCCTGTACAAAAGCCAAAACAGATGATACAAAGTCCATACAATGAAGCTCATTCCCTTCACTCAGAAGAGTCCAACAAACCCTCACTTAGAAATTTCTTTTTAAGGTCACAGAAGCTTTTTTCTGGTACTCAGGCCTCTACAGATCAAGTTCAATAAGATAGAAGACGGAATAAATTGCACAAGAGGCAGGAACAAGGCACAGTAAGCAGCAAGAAGTAATAACCTAACAGTAAGAAAAACAAAAAAACTTTAAAGAACAGATATGAAACTAATAAATTATAGTGCATAGTTTTGGGTAATCTGTGGTTTTAAGTATCAATGACAGATGTCCAAAATGATGTCCAGTATTTTAAAAAAGGAAAGAAACAAGCCTAGATTATAAGGAACTAGAGTTTAAAAAAATAATACATTTTTGGAATATTTCCATCCAAATCAGTAAATATTTTTTAAAGTCTAAGTGCCTCAAAGGGTAAGCTTCATTTATCTGGAAAATTCACTGCAAAATTCATTGCCAGATGATAGTAGATAAAGCTTAACATATGAAAGTTTCTCATATTGAGGTGTTTCTTCATACATACTTTACAAGAAACAATAGAAGATCTGAACAAGTTCAATTTCTTATCACCAATCTCTCAAATTTAATTTCTTAAGACCATTTAGTGATCTAGTACAAAGCTGACAAATTATTATCACTTCTTTAAGTAATAAAAAAACAACCAAAATGACTGCACAGAAAATATGAAAGGGGCACCTGGGTGGCTCATTCAGTTAAGCACCAACTCTTGGTTTCGGCTCAGATTGTGATCTCGGGGTCATGGGATCGACCCCATGTGGGGCTACATGCTCAGTGTAGATGATCTGCTCAAGTTTCTCTCTCCCTCTCCCTCTAACCCTCCCCCCCCCGCACACTTACACTCTCCCCTCTCCAATAAATAAATAAATCTTTAAAAAAAAGAAAATATGCAAAATTTGGGCAGAAAATACCATAACACAGGGTTGACAATAACATCCATTTAGGTGCCAAGTTTTCGCCTGCCAAACTACTGTATCTGTAACTCTCCTCTAAGTGCCAATTTAGTCATCACCAACGTGAATATTTTGTTGGCAAAGGCCAGGGACTGTCTACTATATCCTGACTTCTGGCCTTGAAGGATGAAGTTAATTTCTTTGGCACAGGTTAAATATTTCCATAAGAGAAAGCCCAATTACTGTATAAACCACAATACATTCATAACAAGGAACTGTAGCCACTCACAAAAACATCTTATCTATTTTTTAATTAATTATCCACAAAGCAAGAGAGTCAGAATTCAAAATAGCTACTAGTCAGAATTCAAAATAGCAAAAAATCCACTAGTCTCAAATATCCTGAAGTAAAGGGGGTATAGGGGAGGGGTGACAATGTCCCATTTCTCTAGGCCCACGGTAACACTTTTGCAAAACCTGCTGACCTAGACCACATGCTTACGTAAAAGACAACTACTTATAAAGTCAGTGCACACTGACTAATTTCTTCACCTTCCCCAGGAGTCCACACCCCAGACCAGGTTAAAAATCCACTAAGTTTCTAATATGTAACCTGTACAAATACTCTGGGCTTATCATAAAATTTTGCAACTAAAGCAACCAAACAACTTGTATACTTTGTGTAATATGATTCCAACTCTTAGGAAACTGACCCAATACCAGTTATAAATCTAGATTTCTAGAGATACAATCCCATCCACATTTTTAGATTTCTACACTAAGATACCATCTAATGCCACAATTTAGACTTACTGCTCCAATCCAGGGATCTCAAAAACACGAATATATGCTTTTTACTATTAATGTTAACTTTTCACCAACACGAACTCCTTTACTCTTACAAAGATGGCAATGTGTACAATTAAAAAGTCCAACCATTCTTTAATAAAACCTGTTAGAATTTACTATCCTACCATATTTCATTTGTGTTGCCACCTAGCCTGAAAAGAATTTCTGAAAAGAACTGCTTTCAAAAGCTCCTGTTACTAAAAAAGATTTATTTCCTTATACCAAATTAACAATTCCTTGTTAATATCTAGTACATTACCACATGCTCCCTCAATGGCCCAAAGCAGCCTTCCACATATTTCTCATCACTTTGGAAAAACAAGGAGAAAAGGGGTAAGGAGAAGCATGGCACTGCATCTTGTTCTGTCCTAACACTTAAGTAAAATCATCACTTCCTAATAATCACTTAAAAATCTTTATTGACAATTTTTTTTTTCTGAAAGTTTTCCCTAAATAGATCTCTCTCAAAATTATGAACCGGTGACACCAACTAATGAGGTAAAGAAATAAATGATTTTTTTACATCTTGGTCTTTTCACATAATGCGAACTCATTCATCATAGGTCCTTCTTCCCGAACGTTTGCCAAGTCACAAGACACACTACTGTTTACAATCCCTCCCATCTGCCCTCTGCCAATATATATCAAACACTCTAGTCACTTGGCTTAAACAAACAGTCTCCCAAATAACCCTCTCAAATCCTAATTTAGATCGAAGATACACTCATTCTGATTCATATTCTTAATGGAAATTTTTTAAATCACTTGACTTTCCAAGGGGTAAATTTTGCCTTTTGATGCAGCCAGACCCTAGGGCCCTCCTGTTTTCACACAAGCACTCTATATATGACAGTATACTTTTTAATTCTACACTTTCAGACGTATTTTCAATCTGAGTACTCAGCTTTCAAAGACAACTTCAAACTTTCAATTCATTCCAACACTATACATTTCTTTCATTTCACTGCTATATACACTCTGTTCTTTAAGGTTGAGGCCTACTGGTTTTTCCTCTCTGACTGCAGCAGAAAAAGAAATGAAACAGAATGTATTTGCCATCATTCTTTTTAAAAATAACTACTAAATAGTTCCCATTTTTCATCACAGACTCCACATAATACATCATATACATGGTATGTCACAAATGTCTATTGTTCAGGACCTTCCTAGGGCATCAGTACTACTAGTCTCCAAAATCAAACAATACTTCAGATAATGTTGGGGGGGGAGCATGATTCACCAAAAACTGCAATGAAGAGTAATGGAATATTTTCAACAGTGGTATGCTAAAACTAGCAGCTTCTGGAGAGTACTGCTAAGCAACCATCGCTGTAACAATAAATCCACCTGCTTCACAGGCTGCAAACCTAGGAAGATGGGAGGAAAAGCGGAGATGGGGTCCTCCCTCAGCTTCTCTAGAGGTTAGGAGAGAACAAAGTCACTGCTGCACTGTCACTTGAGGGGAAGGGGAAGGGGGAGGGGGCGGATCATCTTGGAAACCCAGCCCCTGGGCCGGAGCAGGCGGGGAGAACTCAGCAAGGCTGCCTGGGATTAGCATTCTCCTTCTCACCCTCTCCCCCCTTCTAGAATCTCCCCTCCTCGCTAACGCGCGGCGGCCGGAGTCCCAGATGACCGCCCCCTTTCAATGTGTCCTCCGTGGGGGCGTAAGGAGAACCAGAGAAAAGAACTGAGTCAGGAGGTTGAGACAGAGTGTGGACTCCGATGACCCCTCTCGCCTCCCCCAACAGCCTCCAGCCTCGCCCAGATCACTACCAAGCCCGGAAGGGCCGGGGGTCGGGGAGGGGAAGCCCCGCACAGGTGTGCTCGCCCGGACTGGGGGAGGTTGGGGGGCGCTCGGGAAGGGCCCGCCAGCTCCCTCGGCGCTCCCCGCAGCGCGGCCCGGGGCCCCAGCCCAGCAGAGCAGAGCACATCGGCCCGGGCGCCCCACGGCAGCCCCAGAGGGGCGCGCCGGTCCCCGAGCCGGCCTCGCTAACCCCAGGCCCGCAGCGCCCAGGCCCGCCGGCCCGCCCGTCCTCCCGGCCGGGCCCCCAGCCCAGCCCGCGGCCTAACTGCTAGCCCCGCAGCTCGCCCCCGGCGCCCGAGGGTCGCCGTACCTGGGCGGCGGCCTCCAGCTTGCCCTCGAAGGTGAAGTCCAGCAAGTCGGGCTTGAGGCAAAGGCTGTAGTTGATGGGGGAGACATCGGCAGGCAGCCGCTCGAAGGGCCTCTTCTCCGGCATCGCGGCGAGGCCCAGGCTGTGGAGGCGGCGGCGGCGGCGGCGAGAGGAGCGGCTGAGGAGGCGAAGGAGGAGGGGAGGAGGCGGAGGGCCGAGGAAGAGCAGGCGGCGAGCGAGGGAGGGGGCGGCGGCTGCCAGCCACATCCACCGAGCGCGGGCGACCGCCTGAGGAGAACGACCGGGGAGCCTTGGGGGGGGGCGGGGGCGGGGGAGAGACCCAGCCGGAGCGCTCGGGGCCGGGAGGGAGGCGGTGCGGGCGGGCGGGCTGGCTGCCTACGGGGAAGGGGGCGGAGGGGAGGGCAGGAGAGGAGGGCCTGCGGGGAGGGAAGGAGGCGGTGGCGGCGGCAGCTGCGTGCGCGTCCCCGCCGGCCGGGCGCGTCCCCGCCGGTGTGCGCGCGCGCGCGCGCCGGGACAGGGGGCGGAGCGGCGAGGGCGCGGCCGTCCGGCCGAGAGGGTGCGGGGTCGCGGGCGCGTGCTGGAAGCGGGAGGCGGCTCCCTGCGCTGCACCTGTCGGCGCCACTGGGGAAAGCCGACTCCTGGAGAGCCGGAAGGAGCCCAGAAGGGTTTGAGAAGCGGAGGGAAGGCGTGTGAGGATCCCCTCCCACCCCCAGCTGTATTTGGAAGTTGAAGCCTGTGCAATTGGCCGGTACAAGTCAGGGTAAAATGTTAAAACGTCAATTCAGAGCAAAATCCCAAACTGGATTTTTAGCTCCAGATCAGCAGAGAGCCCTGACTGGAGGCTCTTTGGCAGTAATTATTCCTGTTTTAAGTAGCAACTTCGAGAGATGGTTATGAAAAAATTTGTCAGAAAACCTTTAATAATCCAGGTTACTTAAACCAATGCGATCTGGACCTTTGAGAGAGTGATCTCAGAAGTTAGGAAAATTTTGTTTCCATAATTTAATGTTCAAAATAAGGTATGTTTCACCTTTTCCCCGTTTCCTCTTTATTTCTGCTTTTTTTAAACTAAAAGACCCTTCACCAATTATGGCCTCTTTAAACTAGCCATGGTTCAGTCAGTTCGGCAGATATGTCACAAGTTGGGGTTATATTTTAACATAAATGTATACGAATTATATATAAATATGTGTTACATATTTATATTTTTTAAAGTGTCAAGGGCAAGAGATTTATCCATAATCCCCATATTCCTTTATAGAACCTTTTCATGTAGAACCCCGGAATTTCCAAAACTCAATGCTGAATGATACACTGGACCAGCACTGTACAATAGAAATATAATCGAGCCAACTAAGTAATTTTAAATTTTCTAGTAAAACGTCAAAAAAAAGGAAACAAGTGAAATTGATACATCTCATTTAATACAACATATCCAAACTATCATTTCAACATGCAATCAAATAAAAAATGAGTTTTTTTTTTCCGTACTGAGGCTCTGAAATCCAGTGTGTATTTTATATTCATAACACATCTCAATTCTGACTAGCCATATTTCTGGTGCTCAGTTGCCCTGTGAGAACAGTGGTCATTGTCTTGGACACTGGGCCTCCCCTCTAGCCCTCTGAATCCTGCATACCTTTTAGGACACACTGAACAACTGCAATCCTTTCAAACTAAGGTGTGAGATGGGCCTTTTGTTACATGCAGGCATCTCTATGACCACTTCTAGGTCATAGAAATAATAATAATTTTAATAATATGTTAATTGAATTAATTAATTGAATAATAAGGTATTGAGGGCTTACTAGACACTTTTCGTATTTTAATTCATCTAATCCTTTCAACAACTCTTTTAGGTAGACACCATTATTCCCATTTTACAGAAGAGAAAACAGGCACACATAGATTAAGTGACTTGCCCAAGGCCATACAGCTAATAAATGGCAGAGCTGGCCTCAGGACCCAGCCTTTTTTTTTTCTCTCCTGAAAAATTCTGCAGCATCTTCCCTATTTTTTCTAACTTTCTAGTTTTGTTTTATTCCAGTCCATCTGTATCTCAGTTTCTTACAAAATTATTCTCATTATGCAAGCACCCATAAGGCTCCCTCTTGTCTGTTAAAGCATATTTGATTTATAACCACTTAAGACTTGTTTTTCTTACCCCTTTAACATAGATTCTCCAGTCTTAGCAGGCTAACCTGTTTACCATTTGGCCCTTACAGTTTGCTCATTCTCTCTTCTCTACCATTGTCATGCATTATTGCTGGAAAGACCTTATCCTCTTGGCCAAACGCATGCCCCTTCCTTCAAAACTCACCTTTTCCAGAAAGCCCTCATTGACTAACTCTGCTCAACTCTAACCCCTTTCCTGTCAGTTCTCAAATCCTGGCTTTTGCTGATTATTTGTACTTGTTCTGTAATTATACTTTTTAAAAACTTTTATTTATTTATTTGACATAGAGAGCGCGCAAGCACAAGCAGGGGAAGTGGAAGGCAGAGGGAGAGGGAGAAGCAGGTTCCCCGCTGAGCAGGGAGCCCGATGTGGGGCTCAATCCCAGGATCCTGGGATCATGATCTGAGCCAAAGGTAGACGCTTAACCGACTGAGCCATCCAGGCGCCCCACTGTAATTATACTTTTAATTTGTTTTATATGGATATCTTTTCAAGATGTACTTCTAATTCCTTTAAAACTGTCAGAACTGAGCCCTGAACAAAGTACATCTCAATTGTTATTGACCCAACCGACCAACTGATCAAGAGAATATTTTACCCAGTCTGTATGTAGCCTTTCCTTTATGTACAAGATGTGTGTCCCACAGAGAAATTATGTGAACCTAAGACTAGAGGTAACCTTTTTTTTTTTTTTAAATAAAATCACAGAAACGATTTAAAAAACAAAAAGAAAACCTAGGGGGCCCTGCCTGACTCAGTCGGTAGAGCATGCGACTCTCAGTCTGGGGCTTGTGAGTTCAAGCCCTGCATTGGTCATGGAGCCTACTTAAAAAAAACAAAAACAATCACCAAGGCCATAGGCTTCATAACAGCAGTAGATGTCACCCTGCCGAGGAAAAAAGGGAGAAGCTTACTTGGCCCTATCCCTAGTCCCATGGCCCAGGACGTTCCAATGCAGCAAGTCAGGAATGAACCCAGTCCTACTACCTACAACTTGGGATTGGGGAATGGAAGGTTGTACATACAGTTCTCATAAAGAAGACTGGCTAACAATCAAATATGCTCCAGGCAGTCTTCTCTGGAGTAACTGAAATGAAGAACACAAGGGCTCTTGGAAATTCATTTCCCTCCATAATGCTTCAAAAGGAGTTGAGAGGGGGTGGGCAGTGCATGGCTGGGTGGCTCAGTTGTTTAAGGACTGGCTCAGGTCATTATCTCAGGGTTAGGAGATTGAGCCCCAATTTGGCTTGGAGTTTACTTGAGCGTCTCTCCCTCTGCCCCTCCCCCGTACGCGCAAGCACGCATTCTCTCAAGTAAGTCTTTAAAATAAAAAAGGGGGGGGGATTGAGTAATGTTTCAAGGTCATTAGCCTTATTTCTTTTTTTTTTTTCAAGATTTTATTTATTTATTTGACAGAGAGACACAGTGAGAGAGGGAACACAAGCAGGGGGAGTGGGAGAGGGAGAAGCAGGCTTCCCGCTGAGCAGGGAGCCCGATGTGGGGCTTGATTCCAGGACCCTGGGATCATGACCTGAGCCGAAGGCAGACGCCTAACGACTGAGCCATCCAGGCGCCCCTAGCCTTATTTCTAATAGATTTCTAGGTTTCTCTGTTTAACGAAGCCCTTGAAAATCTAAATTAAAAATCCTATGCAAATTACATACTTAAATAAAAAGTTAAGAAAAAACTAAAGTCATTCTAGGGGCACCTGCCTGGCTCAGTCGGTAGAGCATGTGACTCTTGATCTCAGGGTCATGAGTTGGAGCCCCACACTGGGTGTAGAGATTACTTAAATGAATAAATCTTTAAAAAATAAATAAAATCATTCTAATCTTAGGCACTTTTGTCTTTAGTTTTTAGGCACTAACTAGTCTGAGAGTCGGAGGACACAGTCCCCATCTTACCACTGACTTTATCTGTGGCCTAGAGCAAGTCTTATAATTTCCCTGCTGCACTTTCCCCATTTGTAAAGCAGTTAAATGCATAATGCATGCTTTCCTCAAAGAAAAAAATTGTGTGACTTGTGGTTTAGGAATTTCTAAAAGAAGTTTATCGTGTTCTTAGTGTCAGAATGGGCTTCATAGCAGGAGTGCTAGATAAAGAGTTGGAGTAAAGGATATGTAGAAAAAAGGTAAATCGTTGAAAGAGATGTTTTGAAGCAAAGAGAATATAAAGGAATTGGTACAGGAAGCCAAAATATTCAGGGAGGAGGGAAACACATCCTGGCTGTGGAACATTGAAAGGGGAAGAGAAAGAGGTGGAAGAATTTGGGAGACCATTACAAAACCCACCATATTAGATCAAAACTAAACATAACTATTAATATATAGCCTCCCTGACTTAGAAAATACGGCCTTTCGTGTCAATTTCAAGCATGGAAATTATAACTGTAATTTCATTAATGTGAGTCTTACCTGCAGATGATAGTGAGGGGGTTCCAAAAACCAGGGACACAAAAAGCTAGAAAGCAATTCATAGGAGGCTGATGCCATGAGATCCCAGCTTTGACTCTTTGTAACTTAAAATGGCTGTTGGAATGACTGTTGGAAAAGTGGGGAGTAGATGGAATGTTGCCTACCCATCCTGTGTTTTTCATGAAAGGAAAGCAGATTAATTCCATATGCTTTAAAATGTATACTATACTAGGGACGCCTGGGTGGCTCAGTCGTTAAGCGTCTACCTCTGGCTCAGGTCATGATCCCAGGGTCCTGGGATCGAGCCCCGCATTGGGCTCCCTGCTCAGCGGGGATCCTGCTTCTCCGTCTGCCTGCCACTCCCCCTGCTTGTGCTCTCTCTCTCTTTCTCTCTCCCTGACAAATAAATAAATAAAATCTTTTTAAAAAATGTATACTATACTAAAAAATATGTATGCTATACTGATGGATACTGTATATAACAGGTGATGTGTGTGTGTCTGCCTATGTATCTAAATACAGCTGATCCTTGAACAATGCAGGGTTTGAGGCACAGACCCCTGTGAGTTGCAAGTCCGCATGTAACTTTTGACTCCCCCCAAACTTAACTACTAATAGCCTATTGTTGACTGGAAGCCTTACTGATATCAAATAGT